AGTAGATTCAAGTCTTTGTTTACTTCATCAGCAAGTATTAACTGACTGTTGACTCTTTGCTAGGCAATGGCACATACTAGGCACTTGAATGTGTGAAATAAGTTTGAATGTGAATAAATGAAAAACAGCAATGAGTTAAAAAAAAAAAAGTCCCTGCTTTCACAAAAGTGAGAATTCTCACAAAAATGTAAGTAGCATGGCGCTATAACAGACTTAACACTTTTTAACATTATTTTAAGTCTATCTCCCACATTTTACTGTGAATTCCTTAAGGACAGGATTTTGTCTTCATTTCTATATCTTCAGTATCTAGCATACAGTAAGCACTCAATAAAGCATCTGTCCAAAGAGGAAGAAAATTATTTCACATCTATGTTTGTATAAACTTCAGAATATTTCAGTAGCTATCCCCTTAAGTAAGTAAAGTGGGGCTTTTTTTTCAAGTTTAAATTTAAAAAGACAATACAACATAATTCTGCGGTGATAAGGAACGACTAATGTTAAAACAGCCTAATGAGAGAAAAAGAAGTCAATCAAATTTTAATTGACATTTTAAAAAGAAATCAAATATATTTGAAAAGTCAAAAAAATACAGCTTCCTGCTCTGTGATTAAAAAAAAAATTTGACAACACAGCAAATACTAGATTGATCTGTACGAGATCTTAAACATCACACAAAATGTCACGTTGCGTTAACTTTACAGGTTTCCTCTTGTTTAGTCTTCACTCTTAGGAGCTTTCCTGCTCCTAAGAAGCACAGCTTTAATGTGGATTTTAATTAACATTTTGTGTGCATAAAATTATCAGTGAACTGCCTCCCCAAAAGCTTCGGGGTGAAATCAGCTGATTGAAAACTGGTACCGGTCACCGAGAGGTAGAATGGGCGGCTGGGATACCCTTCTTGAATCTAGAGCAGGACTTGCCGGCTTCTCCAGCTAAAGCAATTCTTCCAAAGGGGAAAATTTCGATCTGATCCTATTTTGAAATTTCAACGACAGGGCCACCATGACTTTGCCCTTCAAAGAGCTTTAAGAAAGCCAGCATCTACAACTGTGGGAGGAAAAGCCTGGATTCACATCTAAAAAGACAGCAATCCAAGTGTCAACTGCTGGTGGGTGGAGGAAGATGAGGGAGGAGGGAGGAGTTCGTTTTATTTCACAGTACCAACACATCAGTTTTGTGTGTGTTTTTCCCTAGTTCTCCATAAAGACAGCTTTCCAATTCCTTCAAATGTGTGAAATCTAACCTTTACTTTCTTACAGGCTGCAACATTTGGGTTCTAAATAAAGAAGAACAAATCAATGTTTGGCCCTCACTCAGGGCCCCACGTATTAGGGTTGAGAATGCAGCAATGGGAGCCCAGCACTCACAGCAGAGCAATACTAACGTTCCCGGGGTGACGCTTACATGGATCATGGTTCTGAGGATGCCCGCCTCCCAGCTCAGGATCACGAAAGTAAGGGACAATAGCAGGCCTGAAGTTCCACACCACTCATTTTACAAGGTGGTGGGATACAGAATCTGGAAACCTGGATGGTACCCAGCGATTAAAAATAAACTAGTTAATAAGAAATGGAGTAATACATGTTAGAATTAAATTGTCCACCTAAACTATTTTGAATAGAAAAATATGTGCAATATTGCTTACATCTTTAGTAATTCTTTTCTAACTTTTAATTGTGGTAAAATACACATAACAAGATTTACCATCTTAACCATTTTGAAATATACAGTTCAAGAATATAAAGTGCATTCTCATTGTTGTGCAACCAATCTCCAGAATTCTCTTTATCCTGCAAAACTGAAATGCCATACCCATTAAAAAGCTCTCCACTCCTCCCTCCCCTCCAGCACCGGCAACCACCCTTCCACTTACTGTCTCTATAAATCTCATTACTCTAGACACCTCATGTAAGTAGAGTCACACTGTATTTGTCATTTTGTGACTGGCTTATTTCACTTAGCACAATGATCTCAAGGTTCACCCATGTTGCATGATGTGTCAGAATTTCCTTCCTTTTTAAGGCTGAATAACATTCCATTGTCTGTATAGACCACGGTTTTGTTTATCCATTCATCTACTATACACTTGGGTTGCTTCCACTTTGTGGATATTGTGAATAATGCTGCCATGAACATGGGCATACAAATATCTCCTTGAGTCACTCTTTTAATTCTTTTGGATAAATAGCCATGAGTGGGATTGTTGAAACATATGGTAATTCTATTTTTAATTTTTTGAAAAACTGCCATACTGTTTTGCACAGTGGCTCTGCCATTTTATATTGCCACAACATCTTTGCCAATCTTGTTGTTGTCTGTCTTTTTGATAATGGCTGTCCTCATGCATATGAGCTGGGTCCTCAGTGATTTTTCTATCTCCCAAGTTTTCTAAAATATCCCTGTATTATTTTAATAATCAAAGAAAAATCCAGTTAGATACATTCAACCATTAAAAGTGACTACACACATATACACTTAGTGGTATAGAAAGACCTTTATCATATAGTCTAATTTTTTAAATGAAGGTTATTGTATGAGTTATACAAGACTAAGTTTATTATCACCTATGTTTGTGTGTATACATATTCCCGTATGTATACATATACTCCAAGTTTTATAGAGACTTAGTGGAACGTGAAAAGAAATATAAAAACAATAAACCAGAAACTTAACAGTAACTATCTCTGGATAGTGGTAATTTAAGTGGGTTAATATTTTTTGTATTTATTTTCTGATCTTTACCCATGAATATTTATGCCTTCTATAATAATGAATAATAACAATGAAGGGGATAATTTGGTAAAACTGTTAGGCAGCCACCTTGCTGTGGCCAGGAACTGTCACTCAGATGTCTGAGAACACTCAAGCCGGGACAGGATCCTCTGACTCAGTGATGATCCTATTGGATAAATTCTACTTTTATTCCCTAAGGTAGCAGTTCTCAACCTGTGGGTCGAGACCCCTTTGGAGGTCGAATGATCCTTTCACAGGGGTCGCCTAAGACCATCGGAAAACACATATATAATTACATATTGTTTATGTGATTAATCACTATGCTTTAATTATGTTCAATTTGTAACAATGAAATTGGGGGTCACCACAACATGAGGAACTGTATTAAAGGGTTGCGGCATTAGGAAGGTTGAGAACCACTGCCCTAAAGGCTTTGAGGCTTTATTTGGCTAATATTATAATAGATGCTGAAATGCAGGAGTTGAGAGCATGGCAATATGCCATCTGTATTCTACATCCCCAGAATCACAAAGACAAAACCGAACAAAACAGAACATACAAAGCCAGTTTCTTATGCTTAACATGCTAAAATATACATGTGTGTAATACACAGATTTGCAAGTTACAAAGAGAAAAATGGGCTGAAGATAGCTATTCCAACCAAGTTTACAATACATTACATAATATTTTAGTTACTGTTAAATAAGAAATTCTTATATTTTCACATTTTTTGGTGAAAACTCTTTTTATGCTTTAACACATGCATGTGTGTATGTTTAATGTGTTCTTAAATCCCAATCTTGCTTATCTCCCTGAACTAAAAGAATATGACAATATGTCCAAATTTAGGCACAAAGAAAGTAGAGAAAAGAGTGCTTCAAAGACAAGAGAAAAAAACGGGGGCACAAAGAAAAATGCCAACCAAGGATTCTTCTACCTGCTACAAACTAGAAGCTCGAACCCAGCCTTCCTTCTGCATCAGCACTATTAACCCTCTCCACTCCATTCCTGGCCCTCAAATTGGGAGGCTGTGACATTAGTGAAGATGACTCTCAGGAGTACAGCAGATATAATCAATGATCGAATTACTCAACACTTACTGCCTTTAATTCTGAAATCATCCCCCTGGCTCTCCTTCCGCATGTCTTGGCCTCAGTTCCAATCACCGTGTGCGCCCCTCATGATGGCTACCAGCCAGTACCTTGACATTTCTTTCCTAATCCATCACCTCCATTCCAGCTTCACGTCTACTCATTTAGCCTGGATCCTGGATGAGTCACTGAAGTAACGGATTCATTACATGCTAACTTCCTTTAACTATTTCTACATATTGGTATACAGTCAAAGGTTAGCCTCCCAAAGAAAGGACTGAGAGAAAGAATAAGAGAACAGAAACTGGCCCTTTTCTTAAAATTTTCAACAATTCCCAAATGCCTGCTAAACTAAGGACACCGAGAGGTCACAGGTTCGATTCCCGGTCAGGGCACATGCCCTGGTTGCAGACTTGATCTGCAGTAGGGGGCATGCAGGAGGCAGGAGGCAGCCAATTGATGTTTCTCTCTCTCTCTCTCTCTCTCTCTCATCAATGTTTCTTTCTCTCTCTCCCTCTCCCTTTCTCTCTAAAATCAATAAAAACATTTTTTTGAACTGTCTAGAGGGAAACACACCCAATGCAAGGAATGATTGCACGATAATGACAAATTGATGAATGCCTTTTAAATTTTCTTCTATTACTAATTACTTTTAGACATGTTTATATCATCTTTTCTTTAAATTAAAAAAAAAGTTTTATTTTTTTTTGGTTTCTCAAAGCCCTTGCACGATGTTTTCCCCTTTCTAAAGCCCAGAAAGTGACTAATCCAACCTTCCTCACCATCTGGAAGTCATCAGAAGCACAGAAACAAGCGAGGCTGCTCACCCCAGAGATTGAGGCTGCTCACCCCAGAGATTTCCAATACAATAAAATCAAAAGGGAGGAAGACACACACACACACACACACACACACACACACACACAAACTATCCCTTCAGGCAACATGCATATCCCTTCAGGCAACATGCATGTACCTATGTCTCTGTGTTGACTTTATTTCAATAATTCTGAAGTTACCTGTCAAATTGCCAACTACTTGTAAAAGGCAAAAACAAGGAAATCGAAGGAAAGAGAACATGAATTTTATCAACTCTAAAAGCTGATGCAGCTTTCCCCAAATATCAGAGGTTTCCTGTAGACAAGACATGTCCACTATTTGTTTCCTGCTCACCAGGTGCTTTGCCTTCGTGCGGTCCTGCTCACTCGATATCCTCTCGCGGAGAATAGCTCTGGTTAACTGCTCATTGGCAAGAGCCCTCTCTCGGTCCAGTTCTTTGCTTTGCTTTAGTCTGAAAAGACAAGAAAGGTCTAAATTAGAAAGAAAACATTTATTAGTTGACATTATTTTTAATAAAATACTTAAATAAAGAGAAACAGCTGAAATCATTTTGACAACAGTTTATCAAAAGCAGTTGTATTTTCTAGTAAATCCCCATGCAGCTCTTCCCTGAGCATTTAAAATAACAGAATTAAAATACATGGAGTTTACCAGTGTGACTGCTAAGCTAGTTTTACAAAGTTCTTCTTATGTAAAACTGAAATCTGGCCGCCTAAAAATTCCAATGCCACCATATGCTCTCTGAGATATAAGTAATAAATCTAATTAACAAGCATCTACAAGACCAATATTTGACAGTATTTTTTTTTTAAATATATTTTATTGATTTTTTACAGAGAAGAAGGGAGAGGGATAGAGAGCTAGAAACATCGATGAGAGAGAGACATCGATCAGCTGCCTCTTGCACACCCCCCAGTGGGGATGAGCCCGCAACCAAGGTACATGCCCTTGACCGGAATCGAACCCGGGACCCTTGAGTCCGCAGGCCGACGCTCTATCCACTGAGCCAAACCGGTTCGGCAACAAGACCAATATTTGAAGGTGACCATCTCTTCCCCTCAAAAATCAACTGTTTTGAATACATAGCAGACACTGTAGGAGGCACTGATGACACAGTGCTGAACAAGGTGGACATGTTGCAGTCCTCATGGATCTTATATTACAGCAGGGAACTCAAATCACAATTAAGATGTCTTTTCAGCCCAGCAGGCGTGGCTCAGTGGTTGAGCATCTACCTATGAACCAGGAGGTCATGGTTCAAATCCCAGTCAGGGCACAGGCGCAGGTTGTGGACTTGATCCCAGTGGGGGCATGCAGGAGGTAGCCGATCAATGATTATCTCTCATCATTAATGTTTCTATCTCTCCCTCCCCCTTCCTCTCTGAAATCAATCAAAATATATATATTTTTAAAAAATGTCTTCCCACCCAGTAAATTACTCCCATTTTCCAACAATCCTCATATGCAAAACCAGCCAGACCTTCCAACAGCAGGGCTCCTCACCTCTGGAACTGCTCCAATTTGTCCCTTAGCTCTAAACCAAATGTAACACTACGGTCTAGCAAAATAAAACAGCAGAACTGTACCTCCCAAAACCTGCACACAATGCTAATTGTATTAATAAAGCATCTTATTGCATTAGGTTTATCAGAAACCTCATCACACAATTAGGTCATATTAACTTACAATCCACTAAAACCCCTCATTGTGCATGAAAAAGATAAATTACTTTGGCACCGATCTTCACCATAGAGCCTGGCACATAAAGGTATTCAGATAAATGAGCATACATTTCAGTTTAATTTCATGGACAAAGATTTTCTGATTGCCTTTTCTTCATGGAGAGAATAACCCCTCTATACCATCATATCCCCAAAGGTCTAAGCCATGCTTTGAAAAGAAAAGGTAAAATTGTTATATTGGTATAAGTGAAATTCTCAGTGAAACCTACTTTATAAGTGAAAATGATGAATAACAAATGGAACTCAGTACTAATCTACCAAATTTTAATTTTAAAAAATTCTTGAGCCCTGATTGGTTTGGCTCAGTAGTTTGGAGCATCCTCCTGTGGACCAAAAGGTCATGGTTTGATTCCCAGTCAGGGCACATGCCTGGGTTGTGGGTTCGATCCCCAGTCAGGGGGATGAAAGGAAAGCAGCCAGTCAATGTTTCTCTCCCTCCCTCTCTCTCTCTCCCCCCCTTCCCCCCACCCCTCTCTCTGTCTAAAATCAGTGAACATATCGTAGGGTGAGGGCCAGAAAAATAAACAAATAAGTAATTAAATAAATAATTCTTGAAAAGAGCAAAAAAAAAACAGTTTGTGTTGCTATTTTTAAATTGCTACGTCATCCTGATACACTATAATCCTCAGATATCAATTATAACAGATAAAATCACCATGTAAGAAGCAGCAATAATACCCACTATGGGGTCAGAAATACAGAGAAAGCAGTGATTTTCTGAAAAGAAGAAAAATCTCCCAATTCACCACATACAGCTTTGTTTTCTCTATCTTTGTTTTCAATTTTTCATCAATAAAAAGTTCCGTTTTCTTTTTATTATTGTCAAGGGCTTCTAAAATCAAAAGTTGTAATGCGTTCCTCCCCCTAAAAATTAAACCTGCTTGCTTTTGTGTTCTTAAATAAAGATGAATAGAAACAAATTAAAACCAGCACTTTGAAATTGTCTAATGCAAAAGCAACTGCTAGAATATTTTTTCTTAAGCAATAAAGAGCAATTATACTTACACAAACCAAATTTCTCTATATCATATCAAAATAAATTTCACAATAAGAGCAGCAACATCATGACTCCACACATTAACTCACTGGGCATGTATGATTGTAAGAGGACAGCCATAATTAGAAGTCATGTCCCTCCTGGAGTGGCAATTCTAAAACTACGATCCACAAACCAGCAATACCCGGGAGAATGCCGGGCAAATCCTCAGATACACCCCACACCTCCTGGGATCAGAACTCAGGGTGGCCAGAAAACTGTCTTGTAGGAAGCCTGCCAAGTGATTCTGATGAATACTGAAGTTTGTGGGCCTCAGCCCTCAATTACCAAAATGTAGTTTTACCCAAATAAATCCTGGAGATATATAAAAGGAGAGGTCCACATATGAATGCTGAGGTTACTGAATCAGGTTATCATCCTGTGCTGTTAAAGTATTTTAAAAGCATATCACCTGAAAGTAAAAATTATTACCTACTTTACAAGTGAAGTAGAAACGAAAATACTAGAAATTACTATTATTTATGGGTCACCTACTATATGGCACGCACTGTGCTCACAAGGCACTTTAGATACATATAGAAGACGACTATAAAAATTACATTATACAATGAGTTCTACACACTGGACTTTTCTCATGTCTACCATATTTGGTATATCACATTTTTAAAAAGTATATTTTAATAATAAATACATGTTTTTTCTGCATTTTCTTGCATATGGCATAAATTTCAATTACACATGGAGTTAAAAGTGGCTGAACTTTAAGAAATATCATGAAGTTCTGGCAAGTTAACAAATAAAAGCAAAAAACTGAGCACAAAAACCTTTACTGTCATAATAACAAATATAGGTTATTCAGCTTGTGATACTTAATACTTGGCCCAGATGCACAAACTCTGGAGACCAAGGCTCGACCACTTACTAGCTGAGTAAGTACTTAGTGAACCTCCCTGGGTCCTGTATTCTCGAGAGTAAAATGGATGGTATAATCCCTACCTTACAGGGTTCTATATACACAAAGCACTTAGCACAATGCCTGTGACAGAATAAGCAATCAACACGTTAGGTAAGAAGCAGCAATAATACCCACTATGGGGTCAGAAATACAGAGAAAGCAGTGATTTTCTGAAAAGAAGAAAAATCTCCCAAATTCACCACATACAGCTTTGTTTTCTCTCTCTTTGTTTTCAATTTTTCATCAATAAAAAGTTCCGTTTTCTTTTTATTATCGTCAAGGGCTTCTAAAATCAAAAATTGGCAATAATGACCTGGCAGCCCCATCCTTTCATGTGCCTTTCTTTCTCTTTGCCACAAGGGCAAGGACCTGGTCTGCTTTTGTTCACTGCTATATCCTGATGCTTTTTTTAAAAATATAGACACATTTTTTTAATGTTTGGGTTTTTGTGTGTTTTTTTTTCAAAGAAAGGGAGGGAAATAGAGAAATAAAAACATCAATGATGAGAAAGAATTGACTGGCTGCCTCCTGTTCGTTCCCTACTGGGGATCAAGCCCACAACCTGGGCATATGCAGTGACTGGGAATCAAACCGTGATCTCCTTGTTCATGGGTTGATGCTCAACCACTGGGCCACACAGGCCGGGCTATCCCCAATTCTTTTAACAGTCCCTGCCACATGGTAAGTGTTCAAATACTTTTGAATGTACCCATACATAAAGGAATGAATGGCATATTTCCAAACTCAGACAAAAAATGAAAACCAGCTGAAGAAACAGAATTTTAGAAACAACTAGACGAGTTGAACCCTACAGGGCCAAGCCACCATGTTCTAACTGTCACGAGTGTGATTTAATCCCAGAATACACTAAGTCACTTAAAACAGCAGGATGTTATAATATTTTCAGTATAAAAGATTTTCTATATCCTATGCTATTATAGCCTCTGGAATACCATACCTAACTGTGCTTGATTCTTGGCTGCAGAGAGACTGGGAGTGGCACAAATTGACTTAAAAAAATTATTTTCCTTTCTTAATTCTTACCTTTACTTTCATTTATCCTTATAAACAGGCCTATATCTTTAGGAGTTTAGGAGAGGTCCCAGAACAAATTCTCATTATTTACCAGCAACTTAGCTGGACAATTTAATAAACCTCAGTTTTTCCAGCTTTAAAATTTGAAGATTGAACTACATATTTTATATATATATATAACCACATATAATCCTAAGGTCCCTTTCAGTTAAAAGTTTTACAAGCATCATACATTAAATATATTATTCCCCATTCCATTAAAACTCTTGAGAAAAGTGATAGCAGGGAATAAATGAAACTATGGAGTGTTTACTCCAAATTTTATCGTTATCTCAGTGGGCACTTATATTTCTAGTCTCATTCGAGTTTCCTACTACTTGATAAAACTGTATGCTAAGTCAGAATAAATGGGATTCACAAATTCATTCAATATACATAATATAATTCTGTATAATTATTAGGTGACAGACACTATTCTGGTTACTGAGAATAAAATGATGAGCAAAAGAGACAGTCCTTACCCTCAAGAAGCTCAAACTCTGAAAAAAAACATTATTTATACAAAGTGCGGATACTGTGAAATTATATGAGCGGGAGCTGATATTTGAATTGAAATCTAATTAATACTGACATAGCAGCATAGGGAAGGCCAGTGTCTTAGATTCTGTGACTGCTGTTTCAGAGACCAAAGGTTGGCAGATCTAGGGACACAGAGGGAGCTC